CTATCGTGGTTGTTAAATTATACATGTTGCAATTTCCAAAATCTCCATCAAATCATCAGATTTCATCAAATCGCCCGGCTAGCTCAATCGGTAGAGCGTGAGACTCTTAGCTTTCACGTCCTAAAGACTCGATTGGTTATCTCAAGGTTGTGGGTTCGACCCCCACGTCGGGCTTTTCTTTTTGTTTGCGTGTGGTACATGTCCTAGGAGGGAGGGGATGATGTGGTGATGGTAAAGAATGTTTTTTACTTTTTGGGAAATCGGCGACAACAACAACAACGACAATGGCACAGCGACAGTAGTAGTGACACGTCGAATATATGCAGCGTTATGCTCGCTACATGTAGTCTTCGTATTGATTTGCTTTTGTACAGGGAGTTCTTTTTTTCATTTTGTACTAATTTGGTAAGAGCTTATCTTCACTTCAACGGACGCACCCCTTTCCTGGTATGCTCGTAGCGTCTACATGCATCAAAGGAAGACTCTCTGAAGCTTGCAATAATTTTCGATCGCTGATACTTCATTTTCGTGCGCTGTAATTTCTGATGCAATAGTGTCGGGGCAGCATCCTCGCGCCAACAAGATGAAAAGTTGCTGGAATCAGTAGCCCTGGGAAAAGACACGAGAGACACAGCCTTTCTGCTCGTTGCGATAGAAGATAGATGCCGCAAAGCCAGTAACGTGCATTGATAGTTGAGATAGCCGCGGGTGAGCAAAGGCATAATCTATATCTCAGTCTCTAGATGGACACAACATGGCTTCTGTGTATCTCTTGTACATATCATTCTTGACGCGGGGGTCTTGTACGAACATTGCGCTTCAATAGATACGGGCTTGCAACTGCCTTTGAGCCGTGAGATATGACCGAGGTATACACTATACAATGTACGCTTCTCGGTAAGCCCTCCACGCCAATCTAAGTCTCCATCTAACAATGTCTTCTCGCGCCCGATCGGCTTTCGATCATACTAGCCATGCGCGTGTACCAAGGTCTCACCACCTCAACGTCTCACTTCAGCATAGTACCTACGTATCTTTACTTCAAGCCTCTCCAAATCTATACGAGACACTTCGCCTACAATCCCTAGCACCATCATCAGTGACCATCCTCATCATCTTGATAGGGCACATCTCCCTATGCGCATGAATACTCTCAATCACACCAAGACACCTTAGCGAACACGCATGTAAGCTACCGGCATTCTCCTAGCTCCAGACTCTGTTTCAACATCCAAACAAGCCTTCTACGCATCTGTAGTGATCAGCAGGCGTACAGTAGGCAGCCAGCAGCTAGCTTAAACCTAGGGCACGCCGCACCGGTTACTGTAGCAGAGCAGCCGGTGGAAGAGCATCTAGTCTGCAACCCACATCAAGCACTATTTGACATGTACTAGTTCCGCTTGCTATTCGGACCGTCTTTCTCAGCAGTCTTTTTGGAATTGTAGGCGTAAGGGAAGGTCTTTATCGGGGTTGGTTACTCCGGAGTAGAGAGACACGTAGGTGGTTAGGGGGGCTACGGGGAAGTTGCGCGGATATCCGTCTTGAGGGATAAGCTAGAGGAAGGCCATCGTGGTCTTCCTATCTCGTAGTAGTCTTGCATGATGCGATGCGATGCAAGACACAACTTCACTCTTCATGAGTACATATCTCGACCGACCCACAGCATCCACTGACGCCGGGAAGGCTTCCATCCGCCGAAATGACTCGCATACTGTCCATCTTACCTACTCTATGGTTCAGCCATGTTATAATGGGAAGGCGCATGCACAACATAGCCCTGCCCGCCTATAGCTATGTGAACAGGCATGCAGGTACTCCACAAACCGCCAGTCCGTATATGCAACCAAAGCGTCGATGCCATAGCGCGCGGATGTAAGTTTGCGCAATAGCGCCATGCGTGAAGCCAAGAGTCTGGAGTAGTGATGACACACGAGCAGCAAAAACGCGAGGGAGGTCCGACCGCGCATGATGCGTTTGCAGCGGACCCAGCGAACAGAGTCTTTGAGTTGCTTGCCTAATGCCGGTCGTGTGTGCTGTTCATCTATACGTTCGATTGGGGCGTAGCTCGGAAATCCTGCCCGGATCGGATGGAAGGATGTTAAAGTGGACTTTAAAAGATGGACGGCTAATGCTGCAGCTGTGGCCTCGCGGCGCGGTGCAGCATGAGCGCATTGCGTGCAAGTCACGCTGCTTTGTTGGTATGCAGTTTAGATTGTTTGACAGTCGTGGTGGTTGGGTCAGAGATGCGAGGGAAAGGCTATTGGGTGGTGTGGGAAAATGTAGTGGCTGCATGCTTTCCGACTCGTTGTATGTCTCGAAAATCCATTAGGCGTACATGGCCGCCAGGGTGGTTGCAGGCGTTTATGCTAGATGTTCGCAAAGGAGGCCTGGATCGTCGAAACCGCGTCAAAACCCAGCGGAACGGGAGGTACGGTGCGCGCTCAATGACTGACAGGAAGCACGGATAGGCGGATCTGACAGGGTTCGGTGCCGCGGCTTTACACGCGTGAATTTTCCATGAGTAACAGGCCAGTCACTCTTGCGGTTGGGTATGCGTCAGTCGAGCGATGGGGAAGGTAGCGTTCCCAACCTTGCGTGCGTGTTCCTTCAGCTTTGCCCTGCAGACGCGCACGAACGCGATTGCGACACTCGTTGCAACCTTCCGTTGCAGGGGTTAGATGCCGATAACTGTCATACGGCAACGGCCGGCTTTTGCGACGCTAAGAAGCTGGCAATCGTGGTGGACTGTGATGAAAACAAGCTGGTGTGCAGACCGATGATGATGATGCTGAGGATCTGTGTGGATACAGTACTACTGCCGGAAGACATCCCGCCAGCACGCCTAACTGTGACAGGACAAACCTCTTGTGCCCCAGTATCCTGCATGGGAGAAATGCGCGATTGGGTGCCTAGACATGCCTCTGAATCCTTCGAGAAACCCTGAACTTGTGTCACCAAATGATGTAACATCGTGCTGCCAGTATGTCGTTCGCGCATAGGGCTGCAGTGGCTTGCGCGTACATGTGTGTAACTTTGAATGTCTGCGCGCATGAAGTTTGCGGCTGCCGAGTGGTTCGAGAGTGTCGCTGAAACTTGTAAACGTGGTGACCACCAGCTCGTGTACGTAACTACGCTGAATTCGACTAACGTGGTCGTTGCGAACTAGCGATTTTTACGCACGCCTCTCCACAGAGACCCTTGAGCCCATGCAGTAGCCGCTGCTGGGAATAAGCAGAAAAACGCACCTCTTCACATCGTGTCCACGCGCTGAACCCACATTCTCTTTGTTCGATTTAGTCCGTACAGGCACACCTCCACATTTGTGGTAAGAGCGCCGAGAGGATTAACAACCGAGGCTTTGGCCCATGATTCAGCCAAGTGCGATCAGCAAGAACATGGTCGGAAAAGATCAAGGGTCATTCCGGAGCAAACGTCGACGGGCCTCCTACCCGGCTGTGTGGTAGCGGGGAAAAAGTCGAGTCCTGGTCCAGCAAAACTGGGAGCCAAAGGCAAAAGCAATTTCCGTTCCCTCCGCAGCCATTGTCTCATGGTCCGGAATTGAAGGAGGATTAATCACGGTCCGAGCTTTACCCAGTATCGTAGAGAAGCGACGAGAAAAAGTGGATCGTCTGCCACCTTTGAATGACCGAGGTTCGGGTACGTATTCCAAGTTGCATACGACAGTCTCAAGAAGTCTGGACAGGAGGCCTGGGCGTCTGCGCAATGTCCGCAGGTTTGGGCTGGGAAGCGAATTTATTCCGGGTCCTGGGATACATGCTTCGCTTGCACAAAGGTCAAACGTCATTAGGGTTTGCTGACGACGGATGACTTTTGACTTTATCCAAGGCTCTTTTCATTCAAGGTTGAACGACCGAAGTCATAGAACCGGTTTTATAGATCGTACCTCGTGGACGCAGGTACGAAGATGCTATAGTACGGCTAGTTGCGTGGCTTCATCTTCGCGCGTGTAATGAGGCTTCAGTGCGATGCCATTTGCTAACAGCCGGTCCGTGACCTTCATGCATTATCTGATTGACACACAGATAGTTGTACCCATTGCATTGCTGGTATTGGCGTAGAGAAGGTATATAAAATGGGGTTGTCTAAAGATTACTGATCATGGGAGTTTCGTAAGCATGATGTAAGTGTAGGTGTTTGGGAATATTCCGTTCAACCGTAGTTTTACTTCGGAGTGCCTTGCCTTCGCCGAGCATTGCGTGTGTGCCTCAGGCCAAAGCCAAGACAGCCATGCCACCTTCCAGAACAATACTTTCATTGGTACCAGGAAGTACCATGTTCTGAACATAATTATGACTTGCAAAGTACCCGGTGGTATTTGACAAGTCGGTTTCGCATTGGTGACCCCACGGTCCCCGTGAAACCATGTGGGTAACGTATGCTTGCTGTAGTTGCGGGGACGCCATACCGTGAACGACAGAAAACAGGTGTCACAAACGTGCCGAGGTGCTCAGGTAGTGAAGTAGCGATATGTTACTATCTGGGTATCGAATTCGGCGCATATGCTTTCGAAGTATTCGGAAAGCTACATGTAGCATCTCTCTAACTGATCCTCCAATCGGCGTTGTTTGTACATGTGATAGTGGCTGTGAGATGGTGATTGGAAGTGTGAAACGAAACCGCCGAAATTGGGACATGAAGGCTGCCCAAGCAAAACCTGAATGAACCTGGAAGAATGACGCCCCGTTATGGAGTCCTTGTGAAGCTGAAAATCAAAAACTTGCAATGCTAGTAACGCCCAAGATCACTTATTGGTCCATTGGAAAAGCATGATCTCCAAACCATGTATCGTAATTCCAGTCGTATCGCGCCTCTAACTCCGGAAATGATGATTTTGATAAGACCGCTCACATCGGAGCTGTCGCCAAAGTGTTCACTGACCCATGCCATTGGCCACCATACAGAGTGTGAGATCGAAATTTGGAGGTTGTGGAACCGCGCGAAAGTTGTACTGCTGTAACCGCTATGCGCTGGGTATTTAACTATGCTCCGGAGTAGAATTGCGGTAACCCTTGGTGATGGTATGCCATTGGTGGGGTCACCTCTTCTTGTACCCGGTCGAGATGTCCTGGCTCTCCATACCACTGCGCACTCATAGAACGCCCAGCTGTAGGCATTGGTGGTCCATGGTTGGGCATGGCGTCGTATGATGACCAGGGAGCCGGATAATACGAGTGGTTCGGAACAACGGGTGCAGATAATGGCGCCGCTGTGGATGCGCCTATCGTGGTCGCGTGGATTGTGGAAGGATTGGTGTCTATCGAGGTCGGATATGGATACGGAGAAGTTCTCCGGTAGTTTTCGTGTTGGATACCGAGACCTTGGCCTGGATATTGTTGCGGAAGTCCTTCAATGTTTCCGTATGACATCGAGCGTGATGGTGGTTGAAACGATGGTTGCTGGCTCCAGTGGCCGTCCTGGTGACCGTATGACATGGTCGAGCTCGTACTCATCGCGGCTGGTGTATGACCACCTGAAACGTTTGATTCGCTCCCGTACGCTGAGTTTGCGGTAGAGGGTGAATTGCGCCAGGTGGGGCTTTCGCCTACGGTGGATGAAGGTAGGAAACTGTTCGTTGGTGGCCATTGGGTTTCTATTGGAGGAGGATAAGGGTAAGGAGGGTGCTGTACTGGGACTTTGTTCGTCAGCGAATGCGGGCCTGAGGCAGCATTAAACCTACGGCCACTGGTGACAGATGCATGGTGAGGATCACTGTCGTGGTCGCCATGATATCCGAAGCTTGGAGGTTGCCCGTTCGACGCAGGTCCAGAGAATGGTGTACGGAACTCCATGGCATCGCCTGAGGAGGACAAAGGGTGCCGAGGTGAAGTAGAGACAGGTGTAGCTGGTTGAACTGCACTACCCGACTTCGATGAGATAGATTGGGGCTGCGGCATATCAGGGTTATGCTCAACTGGGTAGAAGTTGCATTCCTTTTTCAGCCGAATGCAGTTGGAGCAACGGCCTGCGGGATCGTCGGGAGCTAAAAGACATCGTATCTTTCTGCGCCTGCAATGCCCTGTTCCCAACAGTCAGTGATCGAGAACGACACCAGAATGCGCTGTTTGTTCACTTACCACAAGCAACTGAGGTTCTATGGTATCCTAGCTTGTTCCTCGGTTTGTTACTTGTTGGCGACAGGTCACCAGGGTTTCCAAGTGCTAAGTGGCGCATGTGTGGAGTTGATGAGGACTTGCGGAGCTCTCCCGGTACTTTGCTCTTTGAGGAGCGTCTCTTCTTATTCGAATGTTGGTGAGGTTGGGTAGCGGGTTCCTGACCGGTCGCAGAATCATGGGCGGATTCGAGTCGATCTGTGGGGCTTGGTGTAGAAGCAGTGTCGGCGGCATGGGAACGACCAAACCCAGTGTTATGGTTCGGGGGTTTGAATGACATGGCGTCCTGAAGGGGCTGTAAAAGCAACGAGTGCTCTAATCTAGCTGCCGTCTTCTTCGCGCGGCGTTCTGTACCCACAGCCATGTGAGGCGCACTCTTGTCGCAAGACCCGAATATCAAGACGCGGCAATACGTAGTGCATTGAAGGACCTGAGGGTATAAGCATTTAATGTTTAAAGTTCAACAAGGCCCCACAAAGATCCATGATGGACAGGAAGCTAAACAGTGTACATACCTGGGATGTCAAACGAGGCGACTTCTCAAACGCTGGAGCCGGCACTACAAGATCTTGCTTGCGGAGCGGTCGACGGGACACTTGCTGATCTACCGTGCCATGGGATTCTCGATCTAATCAATGCTTCGGAGGCGCACTGACAGCAGGGGCCAAGAGGTAGTAATAGTCAAGAACCAGGTAAATAACCAAGTAGCAGAAGCGATGGTGAAGCAGTTGCGCACCGACAGTGACAGCTCAAGGCAGCTAGTCGTTACCACGGCCGTTCGTTAGCGGGGGCGCATTGCAATCTTCAGGACAACAGGCGCCAAAAGCAAAAGCCTGCATACATACGAAAAGAAGTAGGGACCGAATATAGAAATTTAGACGACGCTGTTTGGTTGAACAAGTGGATGATTAAAAGTGGCGAAGTATATCCACGCTACTACGCAACCGGTCTGCTGCGTTGGAGCGCCTCTTCGCACCAGAGGATTTCACAGGGTTCATCAATCCTCCTTCCTCACAAGCACAAGATCATCTTCTAGAGGCCAAGCGACCAGGTTGCTGTTGGTGGGCCCGCTTGGACCAAGTGATGTGCGGGATGGATGGGTGTGCAGGCCAGCAAAGTCCGAGCGTCATGACTTTGATGGCTCGGACCCTTCGCACAGTCGCTGTTTGGGATGCTTTGCCTGTCACGTCTCGACGGTGGGATGCGATGACAGCCAGCGGTAGCCGCCTAGCGTCAGCGGCGGCGCGATCCACTTGCATCGTCTTGTGTGAAAGTCTAGTCAAGCCACCATGTGGATGGCCTTGGATTGGTGAAGAGACGAATGTCATGTCTTGCCTGACCCCGATTTCTGGTACGTATGTAAGGGGCCTATACAAGGCAGTATGCTAAGGAGTATGCAAGCTGTGAGGTTAATTTAGCATGGCTCTGTGCGTACGAACGTCGCCGGGGAAGCGTGGTTGAGCCAGGGTGAGATTCAACAGTGTCCGGATCTAAGATGATGAGGACGGCGATAAAGGCCTCAATGGAGACAGGGCCGAAGTGCCTGAGCGAGAGAGCTGACGCAGACTGGAGACTGGTAGGGTTTGGTTTGCGCAGATGAGGGCCCAATACGCAGACGTCGTGACGTGACCGCCCAGTAGCGAAAGCCCGCTGCGATGATCCCCCGATGCTCGCGGTCGTTGGAGAGGTCTCGAAGGGTGGTGCAGGGATGACGCCGACGTGAACTGCTGGCGCTGTCATGGTATGCTATCCTGCGACAAATTGGCTGCGAAGGCGCGTCCTTCTCCACAGTGTTCATCTCGCTAGCAAGGCCCTGGCAAAGGCTCGACTAATCTCCACTCGCGTCATCGCGATTGAGGATAATCAGCGATTCCACAGTTGCGTTGCACAAGCGTGGTCAAGCGAGCATGTCACTGGCCAAGCTGGATTGCAGTACGTGATGGCCGCCGGTCGTCGGTTAATGCGCATGAGGCCTGACCCAGCGCTCTGGCTACGGTCGCTGCATGACTTACACACCAATAGTACGGGCGTTGTCCAAGACAGGCGATTGCACGTGGAAGACCGATCTGATACAAAAGCACTTCGGGCCTATTAATTCGTCTCGAATTTTCGGTGGTCAGACGGTTTCCAGTAGGCTTGCTATTTCCCGACGGCACCTGCGCAGCGTCTCCCCCCACCGGTCCGTAGTGGCGCGTCTATGGTGAGGCGTAGGATATTTCTTTTTCCCAGTGCGCCTCCGCCGCCCAAGAAGCAGGGAAAGCTATCCCACGTTCTCCATTTTTCTTGTCTTCCATGTGTCCGCTACTCATCGTGTTCGCGCGGTCAGCACTGCATCCTGCCGGTGCCGACAGCCTGTGTTAGCTTTGCACGTCATTGGAGGGTAATATCGATTTGACGCTTTTAGACCAGGTCGTCGGTAATAATGCCCTCCGATTCTCCAGCCCTTAGGCCTGAGGATGCGAGTCGCCTTGGTCGTGCGCAGAGTTCAGTCATGTATTCTGGCTAAATTGTTCGCGGTAGTGTAGTGTATCTGAAACGTACCGGACATCAACCGATCGATTTGGCGGAGGGCCGGCTATCAAGAAGTCGGGGATAACATGGTGATCAGTAGTTGGTGTTTGCGCCGCTGCACAGGCGAACGGCGCTTCATCCGTTCGTGAACGCTCGTGCGAGGCTTGCATCGTGCCTTCCCCCTCGCTAGTCTTGGCTCGCTTAATCGCAACTTCCACCCTGGGACTTTGCGGTGCGCGCCTGCCAATTGCAGTGCCATGCTGCGCACAGATAGCAAGAGCTCCAAAACCCCGCGCGTCCTTCACCTCGACCACCACCGCGCCCTGATTGGCCCTGGTGACATGCGCCGGCGGCGCGATATCAAGCTCCACCACCTCATCGTCTCTTCCACCGTCCTCACGATACAGGCCAGCACTCCTCGACACTACTGCTAGCCTCTCATAGTAGGTGGCAGCGGACATGACCGACATTACCACCTCGTTATCAAAGCACGAGTACCAACATCGCAGAGCCGTATCAATGTTGCGCAGCTCTGGTACTTCCTGCCTATAGTAGCGACTACACAGTGCCCCCACGTTGGGGTTGGGCCATGAATGTCAGCATTGCAACCCCACTTGTCTCACTACATCGACAATCATTGTACTGCGGCATCTCCGGGACTCTTGGAGAAGGGTGTACGACTATGGCTGCATCACAGCCCTGCAGTCTGCGCCACGGCGACACAGTGGTGCAACCTCCATCTGGTCAGGCTTCACCGAGGTAACAAAGACACAGATGCCGGGCGTATAGCAGATCCTTCACCAGCTCAAACGATACGGCAGGCCCGCCAGACTGGACATGTCACATCGCAGAATACATTCCCACCTTCTATGTGGGTTCTTCGTTCAATGCTCGATTCGACGCTAGCGACTATCACGTCCTGCGCCTTAGCCATATGAGCAACTATCGACACCACGGCAGTTCTTTCGCATGATACGGTCATTCATCCTTGCGCATATGCAACAACTTCGTTCTTATGCAACGACAACGCACCGTACTCCGTATACCGGCGAATTGCTTTGAAAGCGTACGCGAGACCGTTCCCGGCTATGTGGTCTCCGCACTCGCTCTCCCAAGAGCTAGCTACGGGCAGATACTCGGATATAAGCTAGTCGTACAACCACACCTGAGACTGCTCATCGTCTAGAGGGAAAAGCATCTCCAAGAGTAAGGGCGCCTTGGTCAAACCTTGAGTAGGCCACTGGAGGTTAGGAAGTTCATGATACTGACCGTCGCCGCCCGAAGCCTGGGTGTGGTTGCGCTCGAGCTCAAACGACCAATCGCATCACTTTGAATTCACACCAGCACATCGTTGAGATGAACGTTTTCCCCTACTTTGAGTTTGCTGAGGCCCTCACACCACTCTTCAACACCAAGCCCATGTTAGCTTGGCAGTCACCACGTTTCCTAGCGCATCTCGAACGTCCAGTCTTGTCGCCACGCTGTCTGCCCGACATGGCGGAGCCCCATACCGAACCTCTGGAGATCAGCATCACGTTGGCTAGTGTCCGCTTTGGTAAACTCAGTGGGTGATCTTCAGGAGAGCGAACGCGACACGTTGACAGCCGCGCAACACCTCGCCTATAATTCACGAAAATAACGCCGGCCACATACTTCTAGACGCGCTTCGACGTTGGCACAGTTCCTCAGCGTCCGCTATCAACAGCCGGACTCTAAAGCTCTGCATTATGATCGACCAGAATGCTACGGAGCCATCTCCGCTCAGCTGTCATGGTCGATCACGTCTTGGCCGAGCCTCCGTCGAATTGCTCGCCTTATGGTTAAAGTTCGATTGCCTCGGGGACACCTTTCCTATTTTATATAGAAAGCCGGTATACTAAAGTCTTTATTCTAGCGGGCACGCAGCCTCACTTGCTGACAGGGCCTTCGAACCCTAGGAATACGGTTCTTCTCCAACTAATCATTCGATTTCTACGTCATATGTCCCCGACCGCAGCTGCGACGGAGTTATCCGCGACACCTTGCGAGAACAAAATTCCGCCCCGTCGCCTGAACCATACTATGCTATCAAGGTTGGAGATAGTATGGTTCACTTCGTACAACGGACGCATCTCGAATCGAAAAGCCGATTTGAGATATCGGTCCTTCGTCATGTTGCGCTGGTTTCACAATTCTACTTAACTAGAGTGCAGTAGTACTAGAAGCGTGAAATGGCAAGTCCCGTTCGCTAACCACGCACCATGCACGACTCGGCAGGTATCCTCATGGACCCTGAATCGCTGGTCGTCTGTTTCTTCGAACATCGTCTTACTCCGGCGACCAAATGCTGAGCAGTGACGATATTGATCAAGGATGCTGAGGGTATCACCAGAACCATTCACCCATCGGCTTTGTTCGGGAGATTTGCCCGTGCCACCGGTAGAGATTCCGATCCGATACGCGGCAGTTCTCATCGGACTCGCATCCGAGAGCCTTGATTCGCCCAAATTACCGCATTCAGTATCGTACAGATCTAGTCGCGAAATCCATCGATTGTGTGCTGCGCTCGACAGGCCCCACAAGTGACCACATCCATCGCGTGGGCATGTCTTTGTCCTGGTTTCTAAATGCGATGCAAAACCTGGTAATACCTGCATCGACTATCACGCCACCAATCTCACTCACTGCCCACGGCAATCTCCACGCACCACAAGTTGAGATCTTACAGGCGGGACGTCCCCCGAGCGATCGAGGGTGTGAAATCGCTGCTAACGATCTTCACGCATGGAACCCAAATGCGGGGTTCCACTAGTCAGCGCACCCCCTTGAACAACTAGGTCGGATCACCAAAACCTCAAATCGTCGGGACTTTAGTTCCGCATCAGGATCTCTGCTCGCCTTGCTGCCAAGTGTACACGTTGCCGGGAGGCTCTATACCCGGGATCGCGCTGGTATGAAAAAGGAAACATGATGCAGCCACGATAGTCTACGCGTGGGTTAGCCATTACAACCTAAACTCGTCTACGCGTCTTACTACCAGGGTGCGTGACCATGACTTGTAGATTAGGAATCTACAAACCAAACCATCTCTTACGACTACAATATTACAGTGCAAAACTAGGTTTTCCGGCTTCCCCACCCCCTGGATCATCCCATCCACGCTTGCCCCACGAGCACCACATGGATAGTTCAGCATCCGAAAATCCGCAGCACAAACTACGCTCGACACCCTGCCCTTGCTGAATCATCTCATTCTCAGAAAATAGCATCGGTTCTGTTGTCTACAACGGGTACTATGTCCGTTTACCAAACGCGTGGGAACCTAGGTGATATATACACTTTCGACATTACTCGGGGTCGCTATCGTTCTCAGATAGAGTGCTCACGAAAACCTAATGGTGATCCGTGAGAAACCTTTAATCTTTGGGCATACGCAGCCCAAAGCATTGCCGACGAGAACTGTGCGAATAATGCAGTGGTCATCGATGGGGCTCTCCAATGTACTCCTTCGCACCCATATCTCCGTTGAAGGATTCTTCCCCCAGTTGCGATTTGCGATCAGATCAAGATCCACGGCGATTTCGACCGCTCCTATCGCTTTACTTCAGGATGCGATCCTTTCATCCTTCGATCTTGCCAGGGCAGTAACGCCGCAGCCGATACAGGTGGTGCCGCATGCGGCAAATCGGCAGCAGACATCAAGCGTACGTTCCGCTGTCGGCTGCCCTGGCATAACATTCGTCTCGACCGTCTGTCACACATCGACACTCACTCGAGAAATACCTTGACGCGCACCACATCCACATAATCTTCACTGACTAATTTTCGACTGAGGTTAATATTCTTGATTGTTTGGATCCTACACAAGTCTTGCCGGACCACATTCTCAATCTCATCCCTCCTTCCTCAATGAAACTTCGCACTAACACCCCCATATCTCACCCCATCAACCTTCAGCTCGAACACCAACCCCGCACTCTCACACCGCATATCCAGCGTAAAATCCAGATTATCAAACTCCACCCCCTTCGTCGTCGTCAATCGCGTAAACAAGCTCTTCGGCACCGTGTTCAAGTCCGTGGTCAGTGTGCAGACATTGATAAGACCCTTCTTAAAGGAATCGGGCGCTGTGTCCGCGTCGCAGGCGATGAGGTCGTCTTCTACAATGAGGGATTGGCCCGGCCGGAAGTTGCGCGTGTAGTGGAATGATATAGGTCTGTTTTCGGAGACTTGTGCGCCCTGTGTGGGAGGTTAGTATATTGTGTCATACTATAGAGAAGGTGAGGGGGGCATGTACCTTTGCGATGTGCCATTGCATCCGGTCGGACACCATCCATCGTTCCCAGAGAGGACTCCAATATCGGTCGGATATGGGATGCTTCGCCTCATCAAAGACTGTCGCGTAGCTGGTACCGTAGTGCCATCGACTTCTTCTGCTAATGACCATGTTGCCTTCTAGTCCGCGCAGTACTGCGCCACGCACCACTGCTGTCCATGCATGTATCGGGTGGTATATCTCGACTGCCTGTGAGGCATTCAATGCAACTGCGTGCGTTGGTCTTTCGGTATAGGGAGGTGGAGGTGCGCTGTTGAAGTGGGACTTCATCCGACCGTAGAGGTAATTGCTCTGCCCGAAGCCTCCCACCAGGACGATTCCGCATACCAGACCTCCCTTCGCTCTTATGCTGTGGACTTGACCTTCCACCAGATCTATGACTTCTTGAACTACCGGATCGAATAGTTCCTTGACTTGCTCCGCACTCATGACAAGGAACCCAGAGTCAAGCCCCGCTTCCTCGTCATCCGGTAATCCTGGGAAGGGTATGTTGACCTCATTGTGTTCCTCCTCATTGAAGTTGCGCTTGACGAACTCCTCAAAGTACTTCAATCCCATATTCCAAGTCTTCATCTTCTTCTCGCGCATCCAATTATAGCGTTCTGCGCCGATGCGCTGCTTTACATGTTCCTCGAAGCGATAGTTGATGAACGTCGAGCCACACAGACCGCCAGTTCCGACTGCTGATTCCTCGACGCGAAGAGGATGCAGTTGGGTGATCTTGTAGGCTATCAAGTCGACAGTACCGCCACCAGCATCACAGACGACAAAGTTGTCGCCAATCTTTAGATGGTTCGGTTGTATCGCCTTTAGAGTATATACCGCCGCAGCCTCCGGTTCGGATATAAGCTTCAGCTCGTGCCTGTTGCCCATACCAGCTTTCTCCGCAGCCTTCAACGTCGCATCCTTCGCCGAGTCTGACCACACAGCAGGTACTGTCAAGACAAACTCAACCTTGGTCAAGCTGATGAATGTCTCTCCGTATCTCTTTGTCAACGTCTCCATTGTATGTTTGTATATCTGCGACAGATAGTCGGAGACCGCCTCCATGACCGTCTTCTCGAACTTGCGCAATTGCGCAGCGGTTTCGAGCGGCGATACGAAATGCGGTAGCTTCTGATTCCTATCGAGGAACAGCTTTATACAACGGAGACGCGTCTCTTCGGGCTTGAATTGAAACCCCCATTTTATGTTCTGCGCAGGTTTCGCGGGCGCATCGAGCGAGGAGACCGAGCCGTTACGGGAGGGTGATTCGCTGTAACCGATTTCGGTGGGGACTTTGTCGGACGTGATACCTGCGCGTACATGTCAGTTCGTGGACGCGCATCTGGTCAACCCAAGTACAACATACCGTTCCCGCCAGGCCACGTCTTGATGATGTCAATGTCGTCAGGGGTCGCACTGTAAACGGCAGCCACACCTATCGAGCTTCAGCGTCCAATCGTATCGGTCGCATATCGTGGAATAGTTGCTACCAACCGCTGTAGGTGGTTCCAAAGTCGACACCGACAACCAACCTATCCTTCGTGGTAGTACCCACTTCAGGTACGCTGCCTATGTCGATTGTCGCATTGCTCCCCGGATTGAAAGTATACGGAATGCTACTTCCTCGATTGGGAAACGTGTGGTTCATGGCCATTCTTCGGTGTGTTGATCTTTGTTGTTTACAAGGCCGGCTTCGGCAGATCGCGTGGCTGTCGCGTGGGTCGGACCGCGGGGCTGAATCCTACGAAAAGCACAAGAGTATCATGGGCGTGGACGTGGATACGGGGAAGACGTCGAGGTCATGAGTGTGTCTGCCTGAAGGACATGCGAATGATTCAGGCACCGGCGGAAACCTTGCGCGGTGTGATGTCGAAGCCTAGGAACGGCGCGCGCTACCCACTGCTGTAGGAGTCGCCCAGCTGCGGGCCCTGGTTGGTGATCGTCAGCTCGGGCAAGGCTGCAGCATTCAGCTCGCCCAGGCACACTCGTGTCGTCCCACGTGAAGCCATCCGATGGTGATATTCTTCGAGAGGGGTGTGGAGGTTTGGGTCTTTGACGCCCGCTTTGAAGTTGGTTCCGATGCGCCCTTAGGTCGGAACGCGCCCGGTCCCAGCTATGACCGAACGAAAGAGTTCTGGCAAGCCTCAGCACTCCGACCGCACGGCCTTAACATGTGTTAATATCCTCAGAATCTACCCACCGCCTCAGCGTGAAGCGTGGTACCAGACTCATCTCGAGATCGACCAAGACCTCCACGAACAACGTTGTCACCCCACCGAAAGCCGCCGTACCAGCTCCCAATGCGAGGAAAGACGAAGTACATCGACGCCGATACCCTTTCAATGATATGCTGAAGCGCAAAAGCGAAGGTGCGGTAGATCTCGAAAGACACACTGCACCTTCAGGGCCTAGCAATGAGCTTTACAACATGTCGGAAATGGCGTCATCGGGCGATGATGCCGTAGACGCGCGCATGGCACACAGAATCGCGGATCTGGAGAGAGCTCTCGCGATTGCGAAGGAGGAACAGGACTTGGCTAGGGAGGAGTTGGTGCAAGTGAGACAATACAGGGAAGAAGATCGACATGCGATTGAAGAACTGAGGGCGCAGCTCGCTGAGTCGAGCTCGGTCGCGGATAGAGTCCCACCGGCACAGCTCGAAGAACGGATCGCGTCGCACGATAATACGCGTCAACACCGCCTCGAGCGACCACATTCAAACAGTGAAGCAGACGATCTGCGCCTGCGCCTCCACGCCGTCGAGAAGGAATCACAAGAGAGACTTCATCAGCTTCTAGCACTGAAGTCAAGCATATCATTGCTCACGCGCATGGATTCGCAGATAACGGATAGCGAGCTGGCAGAATCTTTCTCACAACTTGCGAACCGCGTGCGCGAATGGACTGTGTCGAATTTCAGACGATCGAGGCTGAATCTGGACAACCTTCCGAAGGAGACGGGGGAAGTTCTCAGCGCGCTGAATCCGCTGTACAGTGTTAACATTCGGAGTACGGATAAGCTTGCGCTGTATCAGGCTATCGTGTCGCAATCGCTTATGCAGATCTTCGATGCTCCTGTTGTATTTGGACTACCTAGCACAGGTCCTTTCGCTACCTTGCGACCACTCGCAGAGCGTACGCGGCATCTTGGTACTACATATCGGGAATGGGTGCGCGCTACCGTGCAAGTCCTCGAACGCAGCGAAGCGAAGCGAGATGTCGATACCGAAAGAGAAGCCTCACTACACGGACTCGCCGGAGAGATCAGCCACATACTCTTCACGCTTACATCTGTGAGCCTTCCGCCGAATGCCCAGTCAATGCTCACCGGGATATTGAAAGACGCCGTGACGTTGCAGCGTACACTGGCTCTGCAAAAGGCACGCTACCAGCTGCTCTTCCTCCGCTGTCAAGATGCCAGTATGCAGTTTGATGACCGTACGATGGAAGCTGTGAATGACGTTGATCCCGCTGTGGAAGATGGTGCTGATATGGATGTGGATCCCAGATTTCTGTTCTGCGCGTTCCCGGGTTTGATCAAGTACGGGGATGAGTGGGGAGAGCATGTTGAGATGAGCAATGTGTTGTTGAAAGCGAGGGTGTGCTCTGGTGTGAATGGAGCGCTATAATAGGGTCTATTGAGAGCTTACACCGAAACTCAGCGATGCAAAAAAACAAATGCAGTGGAGTGTTGCCTTTACTGGGTTCGTAACCGAGTTCCTCTTCATCCAAGCACAACATCGATGAGCTCCCTGTCCGCAGCTTCCCATGCCGGTTTGGTGATGTGACCAAGATTTTTCCTGTAAGCGACACCATCTATCCATTCGATCCAAAGAACGTTGTAGAAGTCTAAATGTCGCGGGAAATACTTCCGTAAGTAGGATATCTCACCGTCCCTAACACTACCTCCTACGCGACTAGTAGATATTGCAATCACTTCGACCCTCCTGTTATTCCCGGTTGGTTCAGGTACGTCTCCTCTTTCCATCAGTACACCTGAGCTCAACCCATCCGCATCATGGATACGCGTCAGATCGCAATCTCTATCAGATTCCAGCCTGACTAGGTGGAAAAAGGCGTGTTCAGTCTGGCAGGTGATTTTACTCGAGACCGGCATTGGTATTGTAACCGCAAGTGATGTGTCGACCAGTGGAATCGGGAAATAGAACCACTCCCTTGGGGCATATGGCGTGACGTACTTGATTATCGTCCGCTCGCTAGACCTGCGAGGAATCCGACTCCATCCCGGAGGGGGCGTACTCTCACTGTCTTCAGCGAAACTCCGGTACTTGTGATAATTGCTCTCAATAGGGATATGAGCTCCTCCTGCGCCTGTATAGAACCATCGGACCAGCGGATCTACAACCACTCCGTGGTAAGCCGTACCATCACTGAACCCTGTTGAGGGAAAAGCATTCCAAAAAGGATGTTGGCAGTACCCATTTCCGCCACGCCAGTGCATCCAAGACCAGCTCGGGGGCCGGATGCTCTCATGAGACGTCTCATTGATCTTCCGTTTCGAATAACCATGACGTGTCCACAGAAGAGCTACGTCAAAATATAAAACGGGGAGACCATATAAAAACCCTCCGGGGAAAACCTTTGTCCACATTGATACAATGCCAGAAAATGCTGGAACTACATCGGAGTCATAGGTGAATTCTCGTGGAGCATAACTCCCGACGTGCGCCGTGTATCGCCTGAAGTCTGGCCAAGTCAAAGTGGACAACTCTTTCTGCCTACGCGCCTTGACATCTTCAGATTTCCCTGTTTGTGAACCATCTGTGTCTGGCCAAAAAGCTCGGTGACAATTCCAGGAAACGTGAAATTCTTCTGCAAAGTCTCCGTGTTCTCTCACAGATTTGTAGAAATAAACTACGCGTGCCGCAAAGATTTGTTCTTGGAAGGTCCTAAGTCAAGACACGCAAATGATCAGTACGAACCGTTTGACCATGAGCCGTGTTGTAATTTACTTACCATCCTCGACGCTCCCATGTGGTTCGACCGCTTCTATACGTAGGTGGATGGTCATTGGGATTGCTGCGCATCAACTGATCGAGATCGTCAGCCAGCCCAGAGTCCGCCGTCTCGCCGGCCCGAGCAACAAGAGTCAGAAACGAATTTGCATATATCTCCGCCATATGCTCGATCTCGGTGTTCTTGTGTTGCTGGTCATCCTGGATAATACAAAGCTGATCAATGAATATATATCGTTCATCGAGCAGCTGCGTAACTTCCAAAGCTTGACGTATTGTCTTTGGTAAGCCAGCTTCATGCTCACTGAGGCTTCCATACTGTCTCAATTGCTCGATGGTGTCCGTAGAAAGCTGTAGTGTTTGTACTCCACCCCATACATAGCTCAGTGTAAGATAACGGTCGGCAATGCTGCCCTCGACTATACATACATCCACAACATCGATCAGCCACGTAGGCCATGTAGTTGCGTCTGCCTTGGATGGAACGCAAGGAGGGTCGCAGTGCGACTTGTTGCAGGCTTTGATCCAGCTCTTCATGATATCAAGTCGCGTCTCTGCGCCGACAGCAAGCTTCCTCTGATCGTTGTCCTCACTTGAATGCTCGAAGAGGTCGGCCCAGGCTGGACTATACGCAGTAGTAATAGCGTCATCGCATTTGTAAGTCGGTTCCGGGACGTTCTCGATAGTGCCCTCTTGTGATGACATGGTGAAAGTCGTGTTATCCTGCTGTACGGACTCAAAATGGACGAGAGGTGATATGCGCAGCAAACGCGAGGTCAGACCTTGCACTTTGACTGCGCCGCACGACTACATGCCCCGCACTCTTCCTAAAAGCCCCCATTGCACAGAACCGACAGGCTTGCCAAATGAAGACATGGATCAAGAACTCGTCGAAACTTCGTGAACGTCATTACGATTTCTCAATACACTTTCTTCGCCTGCAGAGGTTGGTAGATCATGCGCTCCAAGGTTCTGTTGCAGCACTGTGCGTTCTTTTGAAGCAACAACGCCTTTTCGTGGGCGGAGCCACGAGAGAAACCAGCGCACATTCAGTATTGTGTTGCTAATATATCGGACATAACCTTGTAGTCGTTGTTGATAGTTGAGTACAGGGGCGCAACGATTTACGACGTATCTAGCGTAGCGTGATGACGGAGCTAAATCGTGAGGATGTCGTGATGACGTCACACCTGGGCAGGCACGATTGTACCTAGCCCTGGAGGTCTCTCACAAACCTTCATTTTCACGCAAATTCATGTGCAGCCATGTCGTACGTTCTCGCCCTCCAGAAGTAGTCTATGCGCATGCAGAGTAAGTCTTCGAGCTACACATGCACTGATTAGTGATAGGTCTGTCAGTGACGGAAACGCGGCGGTCGGACAGACCCACCCTATATTTGTTTCATTATCAGGAGAACCAGTAGTCGCTACGCCCAACCAGACCGCCATTGAAGTCGCCTTCAAGTTGCACTAGAACGGCCTTGTCTCCTTTCAATGATGTTGAGTAATCTTTGAGCACCGGCAGAATTGGGGAGGGGCAGTGAGTGCCACCTCGCTACTATCGACGTTCTTGACCCTATACACAACATTGGCACTCTCTACGCACATCCGGAGGCTATGCTTCTTCCAACCTCAGGTACGCCATGTTAGCGCTGAGGCTCCGAGAAACAAGCATTTTACCCCGGATTTCCAAGGTGCCAACCCAAGCTTTTCCTCGAGCTGCCTTTTAGCCAGAACGGTTCGGCTCCACGCCGGTACACCATCTGACCACGCGGCCGTAACGCCATCCATCTATCCAGCGCGCGATGTGCCGAAGGCACTATACGTTGCAGCTCTCTACTCGCTCGCTTGCTCGCTTTTCCCCCGAAGACACTGGGATTCATATGTACCCCAGACGAGCTCGGCTTGGTTCTGCATGAAATGGACGTGGAGCTACGGCAATAACCCCTGTCGGATCTTCGTCACAGGACGGCGTGACTTACTCAGATAAATTGCGAGGACGGATGAAAGGACCATCTGTGCACCAGGAGAACGCAAACCAGTATCCTGTACCCCACCGCCACGCTATGGTGTATAGTCAAGGCAGGCTGATTCTGCCTAAAGGACTGCTACTATGGCCAGGTGAAACTGGTCTTTATAAACACTTCTCCCGTTGCCCAGACTTGATCATCACGATTCCTTGACATCTCATCTCCATCCGAAGCAAAGTACCCACTTATCCAAACGTCAACATGAAGTTCGCCGCCGCAACAGCTCTCTTTGCAGGTCTCGCCGCCGCCGGCCCTGTTGAGCTTGTCGAGCGCCAGAGTTGCCCCAAGGTCTACATCTTCGGAGCTCGTGAGACCACCCTGCCTCAAAGCAATGGCTACGGTACCGCCGCCGGGCTCGTAAACTCCGTCAAGAGCGCCTACCCCGGTGCAGGATCCGAGGCCATCGTATACCCAGCTTGCGGTGGAGGATCTGCCTGCGGAGGCATTTCCTACGACAACTCTGCTTCCCAGGGAACTGCAGCCGTTGTCAAGGCTGTTACTGCCTACAACCAAAAGTGCCCTGACACTCAGATCGTCCTCATTGGATACTCTCAGGTATGGATGATGCCATAGAATCCAAGAAAGCCAAGTACTAACGGCCCGCAGGGAGGTCAGATCATGGACAACGCCGTCTGTGGCGGCGCAGGTTCCACATTGACCGGCACCGCCCTGGCAGCCGTCAAGGCCGCAATCTTCATGGGTGACCCCCACAACCGTAACGGTCTCCCCTACAACGTCGGTACCTGCAAGGCCCAAGGCGTAAGTTTACCCTTCTCTCATCCACTGCTACTCTTACTAACATCTATCTCAGTTCGCCGCCCGACCCTCAGGATTCTCCTGCTCTCCCGCCAGCACCAGCATCATCCAGAGCTACTGCGACTCCCAGGACCCGTACTGCTGCAACGGAAACGACGCCAACCACCACCAGCAGTACGTCAGCATCTACGGAAACCAGGCCCTCACCTTCATCAAGAGCAAGCTCACTGCTTAGACGTGTCTTGCATGCGAAGAGGAGGGAAGGAAAATTGGTCGGCACCTACTGTAGGTGTGACGCTTCGATGTAAATATGAATCAAATCAACACGTATATGCTACACGATGAAGAGTTACTTACTCCACTGCAACCAATCCTCACCGTGCTTGCTCTTCTTAATTTCTTCTCCCAATACCCAACCAGGCAGATCAGGTAGTCCTTGTTTTCCGATGTCACCAGCCTCTTCAATTGTCATGTCTAAACCGATATCTCTACCCCAATTCAGAACATTTTGCATATGCGCCGCAGTCATTTTGAAAAGGCTCTTGTTACGGCGCTTAGAGTAGGGTGTTTCGCTCGGTTGTACGTCTCGATCATGCTGCCATCAGCATCTCTACCGAGGCATACGCGCTGGAACCTAAGGACTGCTTTGTAGAGCTCCTCAATTGCGAAGTTATCTGTGAAAGTTTTGGGGTTTTTTCCAACTATGCGAGACGACATTGTGAGGTAGATGGTGATGAGTAGATTTGGTACGTTCGCTCGTGGTATATACAACGTGTGCTTGCTCGCATCTTCTAGCACGCAAGCGTATGTACCATTTCATGACCGAATGTTTGCGCTCTAACAATGCGAGAAAGCGCCATATGGTCGCTGCACGAGTGTTTGTTCAAGTTAAAATCAATCCGCGCTCTTTTGTCTTCCCCAACTCAGACATCATTCTCTCACCGCAATCTCCTCTAAACACCCAAGATGTGCGGCCCCGGTCCTCTGGAAAAGCTCTATTTTCATGGCTGCTTCCTCGATCCGTTCTTTTCCCTCACCACCGAAGCCGAAAGAATGGACTGTCTTACCGGAAACGTGATGAGCCCGCTGAAAGATATGAAGTATGTTTACCTGGGTACGTGGGGTAAAGATAAGTTCAGAACGCTCGATGAGGAGCAAAAGCGACACTTCAAACGCTGTATGAGAAAGATCACGAATTATCTGGAAGAAATGAATGAGTGGGTCGATGAGATTGAGGTGGAACTTGAGGAGAACGCTGGCATACGGCGATGGGATTGCAAGATGGAAAAGTAGGATTGTTATTCATAACATCCGCTATGTAAAAGAAATGTAAACGCCAACCCAGGCGCCATGCAAATATGCAACATCCACTCATTAACTTCATCACAATCCTCTTGATACATCTTACAACTTAGCCTTTGGCCACTGATCCATCAGATCCGTCATCTCGAACCTAGGCCAGTCGGGGTTGAGGCTAGGCGCCGGCCTCTCGCGATCCCATGCCCACTTCTCCTTGAGCGCTGGTTCCAGCTCGTCTTCCAGCATCTGCACGACGTACTTACCGAGAACAGGGAAGAACTTGTAGCCGTGGAAGGAGCCGCAGGTGGCGACGTAGAGACCCTTGGCACCGGCGTGCGGCGAGATGATGAAGTCGGATGATGTTGTGAATGCGTCCCTGGGTCATGTTAGTACTGATCGAGCAGGAGATAAGTGAGTGTAGGACTTACCAGCAAATGCGATGCTTCTCCATCTTCCAATTCGCGCCCTTCTTCCCGTAAAACACATCATTCGCGTGATCGATATCCAGCTTCAACGGACCAGGCACGTCCCACTGGTTGTAATCCTTTCCAGACGGCGGCGCAGAAACGAAACGACCGGGTAGTACTTCATGTGTATGCTTGAAGATCTTCTCGCCCCACCACTTGAGCTCGCGGTCCTTGGTAGGCGGTAAGCTGCCGATAAAGGGTCCGTATGCGGCGGTGTAGCCCTGGACACCAACGGGCATGTCCTTGAACTTCTCGTACGACTTCTCGTCTAGAGTCGTCATGCCGGTTGTGATACCACCAGCGACAATTCTCGAGCCAGAACGCAGGTTGGGGTTGCCGCTTTTCTGGGCGGCTTGCTCGAGGAGCTTGGCGGTGTAGGCGCCGGTTGAGAGGATGGTGTGCGTGGCTTTGATGGTGCTGCCTTGCTCGGTGTTGACGCCTGTGCATCGGCCGGTGCTGTCGATGTCTAGGTCCTTGACCTTCTCCGTGACGTACTTGACGCCCTTTGCGATCGACCACTTGGTAACTGCTCTTAGCGCGTCGCCAGCCTGTGCCCAGCCACTCGTCTTGTTGACGAGTACACTCTTCGCGCCGTCGTAGTTCGCATCCTCGAAAAGACCACCGAACAACTTCTTCGCCTCCTCAATGGTGACTGATTGCAAGTCTGCTTCGCGCCCGAGCTTCTTGTAGTTGTCGATGACTTCTTGTGCGTAATCTGAACGGCAAACCCAGAAGATACCGGTCTCATGGAAGTATGGTTGCCATAATGGGTCCTCTTTGAAAACATCTTGCGCCTCGAGAGCAAGTCTGCAGTAAATGACATCGTCGTAATCGGCGCGCACGACCTTGTTCCAGTCCCACGAAGCTGCTACGCGGTTATCGGCGTCCCAAGCATCCTGGTCGACAACGGTAACTTGTCGGTCTGGGTACTTCTTGATGAGGTGGTAAGCAGTCGAAATGCCGAAGACACCGGCGCCAACGACGAGGTATGAGGGCTTGCTCGACGACATATTGTTCAGTAACCACGGTTTATCGTCGCAGAGCATAGAAGTGGGAGAGGTTTGATGCAGCGATGACCATCCAAGACCATCGCATTGCGTATTTATATCATCACGCACTACTACTATCACTCGCACCACAAGCGGCTAGTGAATATAGTGGGCCGAAAGCGGCCATGTCGTTGTGGTCGCTGTAGACTAGGCGCGGGGCATTCGTGGAGGTTGTTTCCTTATCGAGCAAGATTTTGCGACGGGCAAGCTCCGTCGCTTTTCCCGATGCCCTCTACGCCGGCTGCCATGGCTCCAATTGGACATGGCGGGTGATTAATCGTCTGCCTATCTGCTGATATCGACGTCTGAAGCGTTGCGCAGTCGTCACCGACGGTTCCGATTATCGTGGCCGTTGAAAAGGTCGCCGCATCTAAGCGAGACGGCGGCCGTAGCGTGCTAACCCGATTCAGCCATGCGGCGCGATGAGTGAATCTGAGTGCGAGATGCCACCACGTTGAGCTGTTGAAATCTTGTAATGTTAGTAGAAAAGCAAGATGAGAGATGTCAGGTGTGGCATGCACTGGTCGATTCAGTATATACATGTAGTCGCCTCGTGATGTTGTATCAAGCTCGGCAGCCACCGCGAGCTTGGGCTTTCCTTAGAACACCGTCACTATAGTCATACTATCCGCAATATTCTTGCGGTACAGCCTTGCGTTTACCAAGAGCCTAGAGTGTCTAGATCGTAGTTTGCTAAAATCACGCGTCACTGTAGCAAGCGGTACCATCGAACCTATCGCTTCTATGCGAACTGCACGACACATGAACATTCCTGCAAGGCACATATGCATTCAAGCTATCTTGCAACCCTACCATGTATGCAAGGCTATGATAGCTTAAGAAGACTATGTGCATCCCGGCCAGTGACAAGAGGCGCCGGCGGGTCAGGGGCATACAAGCTAGCCACACTGACGACAGGAACACTTCATTCCTCGAATAGGACGCTGAATAGAGGCTTCCAGGTACGCTAGGAACATACGCGAATGCAATGTCGATGCAGTACGGGCAGACTAGGGCTGACAGCGTGACCCAATGGCCCTGCAGGATGGCGTCTCGGGTCTGCTTCGCGTGGGTACGGTACAGTAACCGACCTAGTGCAAAGACCTCCCGGCAAGTATCCAATGAGATACCTCAAATGATCGCTCACCAGCTGCTGCCCGAGATACCTAACTATCACCATCGCATTCCCTGCCCTGGATGACCCTCACGATAATTCATACGTCTCTCCGGTCGCAGGGTCATAGCAGACTCACCACGACGCAGGAAGGGACTGGGTCGACTATCTGTGTCTGTATCATCCTCAAGTTCTCCACCCGAAATCTTGCTGGATGCCGACGAGTCCTCGCGATTAGCCACGATGTTCGTCCGCAATCTCTTGGCACCACCGCGCTCGGTGGCTCCAGATAGCATTCTCTTGTTACGTGATTTCATCGTGCTGATCTTGGGTTTGAGGATGTATATCTCTTGGTCTGGCTCGTCGCGGGTTCGGTAGAAGTCGTGGCTGCCAGGGAAGCTACCACCCCAATCGAGCGACTTGTGCTCAATTTTAGTGCCGGGAACTTGTGATGCGTCAGTTTAAGAAGACAAGACTCTATTGATTAGGTATACTGACCGTAGGTGTCGTTCTTCGAACGTTTTGTCAAGTCTACCGTTACCACGTTGCTGCGCTCCTGTCCTGGCCTATGTCTCAGCGGCACTGGCGGAGGCGGTGTGCTAAATGGAACTGAAGATGAGACTGATGAAGATACACTTCTACTCGGAGATCGGTAGAAATCGGCGTTGTCCTCCATCTCATCGTCTTCGTCGACGTAAGGAGTTTGGTCGTTGTTACGCGGATGAACTGCGTCGGCAGTTACAGGGCGTGGACCAGACTCGACCGAACCTGGTTGTGTTAGCATACCCAGCAAAATTGACAGCGAAACGGTTTGAGTTACTTAGCATAGGTGTTGCGTTTGCTTTGGGAGTACGTGGAACAGCAACGTCATGCTTGAGAGGCGCTACCGCTCCTTCAAGTCCAGCAAGAAACGCACCCTCAGCGTCACGGAATACGAGAGGGTAAAAACATTGATCAGTATCCAAACCAGCGAAGGTAATACCGTCGCTGACAGCCTGAGATACTTGACTTGGGCAGGGGCAGCTCCGATCTAGTCACCGTTAGCCTGAATGTACGTAAAGTCCATTATTCTCCTATGATACCTACCGTCATGGTTCAGATAGCTCTTAGCTGATGTTTCTGTGAAATTACAGCCGTCCTGATGAAGAATGACCCTGATCGTCTTATGTTTGTGCCTGTGCGAATCTGCAGACTCCCACGTAACCAAAAGCTCGCCTTTCTTCTGGGTCTGATGGCACTCGACTGACCGAGGCATCTGCGACAGGCGTATTCTTGCGATACTCTTCAGCAAACGTTCTTCAACAGCTACGCGGGGATGTTCGCCGGTAGCGATAAGCTGAGAGATCATGATGTCCCATAGCTGCAGGACTGCATGATCGCAGGAAAATGTCCCCGATTCGTCCTCTTCGCAGAATGCTTGTTCGTGTGCGCCTTTCCAAGTAAGCCATTTGCTGTGGACTTTCCAGGTACCCGAGAAGAAACCAGCGTCGATGTTTAGATGTTCGCCGTCCACGAAGGTAAGCTCCATATCTCGGGTGGCTGAGGGAAAGAAAAGCAAGCATTGCAGCATATCGCGCACGTTTGACCCAAAGACACTTTCCGATTCAGAACTCACGACCTCCGAAGACTCAAAGCGATGGAGTAGCTCTTCGCGTGGAGTTCTACAAAGAGAATACTTCCTCAAGATTCTCCACAAGTCGGGGTGGATTGGTGTAGGAGTTTTGCGCAAGTTCTTGCCGATGACGTGGACTTCCTGGGAAGCTACAGTTAGTAGAGTCTCTTTCAACGGAGCTTGTTCGCTTACATTGTTGCCTTCGCTAGCTGAATAGTAGAACACTGCCTGACCCTTGGCGTTCATGTTGAGCGTCAACATCTTCTCCCAGACCTTCTTGGCGATGTCTCGAGGCATAGACTCAGAACCATCGTCGTTGGTGAACATCATGACATCGCCCTTCTTACTGATCGAACTCAGAAGCAGCTTGGTATAGTCTGACAGTAGATCTGAATTGCTAGACCCATCTGCGCGTATTGCAGCTGACCAAATGGCGGTGATACCATCGCTCTCTTCTGCTGAGCCAGAAAGCGCATCGCGATCGGCACTGGTATTCCCGACATTGAAGTTATACCCATATGCGTATTGGTCTCCCTGCTTTCCTCCGCGCGGCAATGAAAGACCACGTAGGTACATGCGCGCCTGGTAGCTGGGATCACGGATGAGATCCCCGTGTATGGTTCGAATGATATCCTTTGGCGGATTGATATCGAGCGTGACGATGATCCATTTCTTGAAGTCGACGATGTTGAGCTGCTTGCCCTGTGCCTCCCATCCACGAATATCCTTAGTTTTCCCCGTGTCGGCAATGACCAAGCAAACATCCTCCCAGGCGTGGTGCCTGTGAGTCCTGGGTTTGCCTTTGTCCTTCTCCTTGATCTTCTTCAGGTTCTTCTCGTTAATCCGACTGAGAGAGCAGGCTAAGCCACCTTTCTTGTAGATGTATCTCCAGGCAAACCCACCGCTTTCGTAGCGAAGATTATATCCATTGCGTCGGTAGACGAGAGACGAGATTTTCATGCCATCGCCATGTTGTCCGGTCTGTCTAGGATCGCGAGCTTTGGAAGTCGATCCCGTGCCTAAGTCAGAAAATCTGAGGGTGGCTTCGAAGTTGACTACCTTCAGACCTCCCACGCAGTTACCATCCTTATCACCTTTGAAGTGAATGTAGCCAAGGAGATTATTGCTATCTGGGTGGCGCGCCTCGATGATGATTTCTTGTCCGTTCTCGGTGTACGTGGGTCGGAATCGGGACTGATCAAGGTCGAAGGATCTCAGAATGCCGTCCCTCCTGTCGCTGATTAGAGGTTGTGATCTAGAGTATTACAGCGAATAGACTCACCAATTTTGGTATGACTCGCGGAAGGCTTCAACGCATGTCCACTTCGGTCTGTAAGTGTTCACGATGTTGAGGTCCTTTGTAGTACGGTTGACGCCGATAAGATCAGTGTTCAGGTCCAGGTGGAGACCATCGTCTTCGTCTGAGAAGTCGTCAACGTCGCCGCCTACGTCCCACAACCACGGCGTTTCGTGGGCCATCTTGGCGATGCCGAACACGCAGTAACGCAACCGCTGGCAAGGTGAAATGGAGGAGACGAAAGTCAATTGACCATCCAAAAGAGGGAATTGAGATCAGAGACTTATGAGAGCAGAGTGAATAAGTGAGAATCAAAACAGAGCAGCGCCCCATCAACGCCCGTTTGCTGCCGCACAGACCCCATTTAGCGTATCTTTCGGTCGCACAGCGACGCGCGCAGTCACGTGGCTGTGGTGACTTCCCAAATCGGCGATACATGTTACTCGTACGGAGTCTTAGCATTGCCGTGGGGTAGGCGGCCAGTGCCAACTCGAATTGTCGTTTCTCGCCCCCCACTAAACAACACACGCAACTTCAAACAACAGTAACCGTCGCATTCCCCCTCAAATCCATCGAGCTCGCCCCAACATGCACAACAAAATCCCCCTTCTCAACCACATACTGCATCTTCCTGTCCCACAGGCCCCACTTAGCCACATCCAACTCAACACTAACATCTACCGTCTCCCCCGCCTTGATCATAACCTTCTTGAAGCCCTTGAGCTCCTTGTTGGGTACCACAACACTAGCAAAGACATCCTGAACATAGACCTGCACTACCTCCTTGCCATCCATCTCGGATTCGTTCGTTACGGTCACAGTCGCGGTGATGGTGTCGCTGGGGCTGACTTCGGTCTTTGAGAGTGTGACGTTAGAGTAAGTGAAGTTTGCGTAGGAGAGACCGTAGCCGAATTCGTAAAGTGCCTGGGGGCTGTTGAGGACGTATTGGTGGCCGAATTGGAGGGTGCCGTTTGGAAGGATGGCTCCGGCGTCAGTGGCGCGGCCGGAGTTGAGGTAGTCGTAGTAGATTGGCAGGGTACCGACGTCGTAAGGGAAGGAGACTGAGAGTTTGCCGGAGGGCGTGACGTCGCCGAAGAGGACGTCAGCTAGTCCATTGCCGCCTTGCTCACCGGGGTAAAATTGCTGGAGGAGTGCGGCTGCGTTGTCGGAGATCCAGGGTTCGGTGACGGGCTTGCCGGAGGAGTATACGACGATGGTGGGTTTGCCGGTCTCGATTATGGCTTGGACGAGCTCGCCCATGGCGCCGACGAGGTTGAGTGATGCGACGTCTACGTGCTCACCGGTGGTGGCGTTCAGTCCCTGCCAGAGCTCTTGCTGATCGCGCGACCAGGTACCGACGACGACTACTGCAACATCTGCAGCCTCGGCCGCAGCGACGGCATCGGGGAAGCCGGACTGATCGTTTGACCAGCGCTCGCAACCCTGGGCGTACGTGACAGTGCCACTGGCTGCACTCTGAATACCCTGCAATGGGGTAACGTTGGTAGGGTTGTACTGAGAGCGATAGACCACGTAGTCTCCAAGGTTAGTGATGTTGGCCATGGGGCCAATGACAGCAATGTTCGCGGACTTGGAGAGAGGTAAGGTGCTGTTCTTGTTCTCGAGCAAGACGATGGAGTCAGCCTCAAGTGTCCTCGCAAGCTGCACATGCTCTTCAGGGTGGATGATGGACTCAGTCGCGTTCGTGGAGAGGCCTTGGTATGGGTTCTCGAACAGGCCCATTTCGAACTTCGCACGGAGCTGGCGGCTCACGGCTCGGTCAACGATCTCGATGTCTAGCTTGCCTTCTTCGACCAAGCGCGGGATGTTTGCGTAGTTGTATGAGCCTCCACCCATCTCCACGTCGTTGCCGTTTGGTAGAGCCATGAGTGTTACCGCTTCGCTATCGATTGGCGTGTCTTCTGTTTTGCATTGGCACAGCTTGAAGTTGCAGCACAGCCTGTCTGTAGCGCCCGCATCCGAAGTGAGCCAGTACTTGTAACCCCATTCCTCGCGGAGAATTGTCTCTTGCATGTGGCCATCCGCGATTGAAGGGATTCCATCATAAGAGTGATAAGCACCCATGATGTTCCAGGCACCAGCATCCATGATCGCTCGATGAAAAGGCGGCAGCCAGGTAGTTCGCAGCTCTCTTTCGCCTCCATGAACTGGCCCAGTGTTGAGACCTTGCTCTGGATTACTGAATCCCGCAAAGTGCTTGACTGTGGCGCTAACATTAAGACTTTGCACTCCCTTGACGTATTCGTATGCCATTTCGCCGGCCAGGAAACCATCTTCGCCGTATGTCTCTTCCACTCTTCCAAAACGCAGCTCACGTGCCAGATCCGCGAGTGGAGCGAACAGTTGATTGATACCGAGAGGAGCCGATTCCTTTGCAATCGCCACGGCCATATCGTGTATCAGCTGCGGATCCCACGAGCATGCTTGCCCAATTGGGCTGTTGTAGATGGTCGCATTACCGACGAGCAAGCCATGTATAGCTTCCGTCTGAACCATTGCTGGAATGCCCAATGTCGTGTTGTGTAGCAGGTAGTCCTGGCCAATCTTGACGCCATTGCTGATCCATTCCGCAGGTATTGGATAGCCGACGTAAAACTGACCCGCGCGGACGCGGAAATTCCATTCCAGACCTGTCTCGTTGACAGCATTGGTGGTGGTGTTGATCCAATTCGAGATATCTCCCTGAATGAGCTGAGCTGTCTTTTCCTCGATAGTCATCCGGGAAAGAAGATCCGCCACTCTGTCCTCGACTAGTGCGGAAGCATCCTTGTAAGTCGCATTCGCTGCTTGCTGTCTGCGAACCAAGTCATACGCGCTGCTAGGAAAGAGCAGAGCACACCCAGCAAGCAGGGAGGCTGAACCGGAGAAGAATTGCCGCATAATGAGGTGGAGTGTACGCCGTGTGAGTGCAGTCTCGCCCGGATACTCGGTTCTAGACAATGTATCGTAAGTCTTATAGATGCTCTCCAGGGTCTACGGGCCGTTCGATGGGGTGCATGCAGACTCCTGGAGGTACTGCGGACAATCTTCACCCGAGACGCTCATTGTATATTGAGGTACCGGTTCAATGGGCGACGATCTATGTCATACTTCCCAACCGAAATGATGCCGCCGGTTGGGCTGCATGCGACGCGTGCTAACTCTTCGAGCGCACATTCGGTGAGGATCGGAAGGCTTGCTATAATCGCACCTTCGTTATAGACGCGTGCATTTTCGATTTTACGCGTGGAAGCGAAGCTAAGAAAGCTATGTCGAGTGTGTGGGACATGAGGTTTGATTGACGGAAGAAATGGTGGCTTGCGCTAGCCAAGGCGCTTCTCCCCCGCTCTGATCTCCAACGAACAACGTCTCCGCACTTCAACCCCGGATCATCTCAGTCGTTGAACTTTCTAGACGTAGTTTGATGTACTGATCTTGTTCTTTCGGAAACTAGGGACTAGATCCGTAAGCGTCGCAGCGTTGCTGCATATAAATGTGAGCTCGATGACGTCGCAAATTTGGAACGCAGTGCATGGCATGTTTGCTTGACTTGACATCTTCATTGAACATTATGTAATACTCTCCTAACATCTAAAGCGCTTCGAAAATCATTGTAGCATATCCCGTAGACAACTGCCCATCGGACATCAAACCCAAGACCCCGACTCTAGTATAAACGCCATAGATGCGCCACAAAACCTGGTATATCCTCCTCTTTCCCTAGTTCCATCCTACTTCCTCCCTAATTACTCATACAAACATTAAATAATATCATCATAATAAACACATAAGAATCGTAATCATCTTCTCTTCCTCACACTTCTCTCACACACATCACACTCTACCCCAAAAGCAACAAAGGAACGAAAAACGCAACCCACCAAACCCTCTCCTTACTCCTGTCACTCAGCATACCACTCGCACCTCCGGTGGCAGCCGGGGGTGCAGGTGGTTCACCGGTGTATTGCGAGATGCGTGTTGAGGTTGAGCTAGGTGTGGTGGCGGTGCTGAGCGTCGAGCCGGCGACGAGGGCGCTGGAGGGTTCGGGGGTGGGTCGCGAGATGGGAGAGGCGGAGCCACGGGAGGCAGAGGGGTTGTAGGAGAAGGGTGGGGCGGTGGGGAAGGCGGTGTCGGTGTTGGAGGGTGGTGATGGTGTTGAGGATGTGACGGTGACGGTGGAGAGGATGGTTGATGCGGAGTCGGTTGGTGATGATGATGTTTCTTCCGAATCGCTTGTTGATGTCGAAACGGGTAGGTCTGCTGATGCCGATGCGGAAGCAGACGTGAGTGTAACCACAGTCGTTGTCGTTGTCGCCGATGCAGTAGATTCGACATTTGAAGAGGTCGGAAGTAGCGGAGTGGGTAGCGTCAGAATGACAGTGGTTGTCGTGGTGGTAGTCGTAGTGAAGATGGTTTGGTGGTTGACATCGGGTATTAAGATCGACGACAAGAGCGGGAGGTTGATGGAAGCAGAAGCAGCCGGCTCATCAGCTTGACCAACTGCAGCTATTGCCAGACCAGGATGGATGCTGGCAAAAGCTGACGAGGGAGTAGCGCTGGGGGTTGCCACAGTTGAAGCAACTGAAGAGCTCGGCGGTGCGGAGTAGTATACTGTCTCACAGACCACTTCAACTACTATAGGCACATAGCCTGGAGTGGGAACCGAAGCCGGCGAGACGACGGTTGCTGAGCCCGATAGCGATGGGTATATGTAGGTTGAGTTCTGAGTAGTGACATTGAACGAACTTGGTATTGGCAGTGCCACTTGTGTTGCTTCTGGTGAGGGGCTGGGTACCGCGTACGTAGTTGATAAAGAGGAAGGAGCGGCGGCAAGAGTTGTATTTGATGGCGACGGAATCGGATATGAAACGATGGCTGCTGAGCTGAGCTCTGGTATTAATGTTGATAAACTGTATGGCGGTACTGGTAGTTCAGTAGCATGTACGTGCGGTCGTAGCGCTCCAACGGTGGTAGCTATCAAGGTTAGTAAATCGCAAACACCCAAACAGCCACTCCATGTACTTACTACTATTCATCTCATAAGGCTTTGATACCACACCACCAAGTACACCCACCGACAGCGCACTCAGCACCATTACTGTTGAACTTCTTCCCATGATGAACGAATGTGGGACTGTGATTGCGCAAGGAACGACGTGCTGCTATTGGCCAAACACAGATC